TATCGGTTTTTTATATGTACTTATTAGCTGCAAAGTTTTCAACTTAAATAGTTTGAAAAATGACTCATGACAGCAACAGTTCAGTGCAGTTTGATGCTACCTAAGATTATGTTTAAATCCTTTTACTGATAACCAAATGACTTGTTTCCACTTTAAATAATATAGTAAATGTTTTTCCTCTACAAAGCAACTTCATTTCATTTAACAAGGGGTACCATTTTGAAATGTTTTGTAGGTGTAAAGACAAGCAGCTAAAGAAGGACTCTCAATAATAAAATATGGCAACATGAGGACTTCAATTGAAAGCTATCTTAACAACAAATCTAAAAAATGTATGCAGGGACCAACATGTTATAATAAAGACTTCTCTCTTCTTGTTCTTCATTATGGAGGCATGTGAGAAAAAGAATTCAGGGTAACTCTCAGGTAGTAGTTGGTTTACAAATGTTCATTTTGTGAGAGCTATATACCTTCAACATTGTAAGTGTCATAATGTCAAGCTCAACATCAAACACAAACACCATTTCTTTAGTTAATGCCCACTTTATTCAACAAATCAACCTGATGATAGAGGAAGTGAAGGGTAAGTGCATGCTCAGAGGTGGGGCAGGGTGAGAGTGAGGGGGGGGGGGCCCAGCTGACCGATGCCCTTTCATTATTGCACTGCTTGCTGCAGCTCCCACAGTAGTGCAACAGGGAAAGAGTGTCAAGCAGAGAGCGTCGTGTCGCCTGTCAGCAGAAACCCTTCATCAACTTTACAACGTGAGAATACTGCACGTATACATGGCGTTGCTCTACTTGTGACCTCATTTCAGTTTGAACAGGCAGCTGGAAACTAATAAATGGGACAAAGTGGTGACATGAACATAGTATGACATGATTACAGGTTCCTTTCTGCTGCTTTGTATGCTTCAAATGAATGAGTGTATCACACGTTGACTTGAGTTCACTTCAATGGAAAAGCTTTATTCACATATCTGTAGTGCAAAGCAGATACAGTTTGATTTTGACATTCTTTCCCTGAAATATCGGACCCCTAAACCAAAACATTGGAGGGGCAGCAAATGATGGTGCTACAAACATTACAAATGAAATAACAATACACTCAAAAGCAATATCTCATCAAAGGAATGATGAATGATTAATGTCTGCATTACATCATAGGAAGAGAAGGTTTCCCTTAACATTCCCTTAGATTATCCACTTAACATTTCTTTTGAAAAAGGAATATTGGGATATGGGCAAAAAAACACATCGACCCATGGAAATCCAGATCTATAGATTTTTTTTCCGGAGAACCCAATATTTTTTTAGGATTTATGAAAAGAAACTAGCATCAGCACATTTGTATTAATTGTGTGACCATTTGACTCAGTAATAGAATACCTTTTCTCTTACTATTTTCTCCATGCAGTCATGACATGTCCCAGTAAGCCCGTGAATGAATCAGCAGTCATTAAGGTACCATTAACCGTCCGAACATAACAATATAACTTACTGAAATATTTTCAGTAGACTAAGTTGATCTATTCTATGTATCTATAAAACATATATATCATATTCGTTTTTTCCCCAAAACACGTTTATTAGAACACATTGGAGATTCACAGCAAAGCTGGTAGTATAATGTCAGCGTGAATCAGCTGAGGACAGAGATCATCCCTCAGAGTCAAGACCCTAAGCAATATTGCACTACTCTGTTGACTCTATTGAAAGCAGAGGCAACATAGGGTTTCGTCTGCTAGGTGATGTAGTCCAGGGTCTCAGCCTGAGGCCTGGAGACGGACGACGTTCTTTTCCACATTTCATTACAGCAATTACAGCAAAGAATCTTCAAATCGTTTGTTAAAACAATATGTCCCCCTTCACTCTGTTGCAAATACTCTTATTTTAAATAACTTAAACTACAACTAATGTAGAGATTTGTGTTGTACCATAGAAGAATGCTCAATTTCATTTTTTATTTATTATACAGCAAGAAACATCATGCAGTTTTTATTCAGAGAGAAACTAAAATGTTAGTAGATTAGATCAATTTAAGACATCTTCACTTTTTAAATTTGACTACGCACTGAATTATTCCTAAAAGAACCCTTCTCTCTTAACCTTGGTTCCATCTTTGAAAAGCGGTATACAAATCCAATGTATTAGTATTATTATGATTAAAGCTGGGCCACTGTAACAGCCGCCCAGAGGACAGAAGCCACGACTCAGATACCGGGCCCAATGATTTCATTCAACTGATCTCATCACCAAATGAAATTCATCATATTGGATATTAGGTCAAATCAACTCCACAGAGCCACAGACGGTGGTTGCTAAGCAGCGGGACACATTATGCCTGTTCATGTTTGCTAGCATGTCAGGAGTCATTGTCATTAATGATGCTGATAATGCAGAAAATACTACTTTTAGCCATCTACTTGTATTTGTAAGTAAACAACATGATGTGACCACTTTGTTTACTTTTAAAATCACATTACCAACAATGAACTGTTCAGTTTTACAAAGATTTGTTTGATGTTCCTCATCGACTTGCAGCAGAATGTGCTCCTTTTTCCTTTCATTTGAAAATGTTATCGGGGATACTGTATTTAAGATTTCACACAAATATGAGAGCATTTCACTTCAAATAACACATCATATGGAAACATGTTTTTTTGAATGACCAATATGAAAGATATAGTCAATCTTGTTTGTGATTGGTTGATCCTGCTCTGAGCATCCTTGTTAATGTGAGGTGTAGGAGTTAGAGGCTTGGTAAATAGATCTGACCCCCCCTTTAGCTTCCGAGACCATTCTTAAATGGAACTCTAGAGGTCTGAATAATGCGGGGGGCTCTGCGGGGGGCTCTGATCTCAATGGAACATATTGTCTGTCATAAGTTCACTTTTCTCACGTTCTCTAGTGTTCTCTTGAAAAAGCCCCGCAGGACTTCCCAGTGACTTTATGTTCATCTCGTTTGAAATGCCTTCCTGCCTTCAGTCTAACTTCAGTTCTTTGGATGAATTATTTTGTTTTTTACGAACTCCACTTTCAAACTGCTTTGGTGAGTCCACAGGTATTTTTAGTGGATGAATCAAAGTGTTCCATTTCCTGTGAGATCCGACTGGAGGAGGTTCTCCAGGTCTGTTAGGAGGTGGAGTGATTTCCATCTCCCACTTTTACATCACATGTAACCTGCTGACACAGCGGGGTTTGAACCAGTGCCCTATACTGATCCGAAGATCAGCGCACTAGTCCACTGAGCCCCCCTCTTGTGAGTAGCGCCTGTCCTTTACATTTCAAAATATACAATTCTATTTCAAGAATACAATCAAGTGATTCTTATTTACTAAACACAAAGACACTGTTCTACTTCAATGTTGATATCATGCAGGATCTTGAAGTATCTGTCTTGTTTCTATTCGCAGGGCAGAGCAAACATGTGGGTCATATGAAGAGCTTCAGACACACTGCAGTCTGACCCTCATTCAAACCGTTTGCTCCTTAAAAGAGGCCATGTGTTCCACTCGCCCTGTAACCACATGCAGTTCACTTTGGTGTACAATATTACACTCCAATGAATAAAAGATTCAATTTCATGCAAAGTCAAATCTTTGTATTAGACGTAGAAAACCATGCTCTCTTGGTTTTTGTACGAGCAACATGAACGTTTACCTATCACATGAGCACATCCCATCCCTGTGAGTGCCGCTGTAATCAAATCTAACTTTCAAGCTGACAGCACTTTTCAGTGGAGAACAGTCTATATGTGGAAGTGTCATGTCACTTCTATCCAGATAGCGCACTGACTCACGTGGCCGCAACTAATATTTATTTACATTATTTATGAATCACAAGTATGATTTACAGTCATGTGTTTCACACGGCACCTGGCAGTATGTTAGCGATAGCGTTTGAATGTGCTTCTGCTGCTGATGTGCATACAGCTGAGCATGATGGGGGCTCTTACAGCATTAGTGCCTCCTTCACCTCACACACCATCCCTATGGGCTAACCTTCAAATAGACCCAGTCTCTGGTATTTGCCTGCAAGCACAACGAGAAGGATAAGCTCCTGCAGGTTGCTAATCAAACTCTCATCCTAACTTCAAATGCAAATGTTCAATCCAAAGAAGAGACAATTATGACCTTCTATATTTATATATAAAGAACTGGTTTTATCTGGACTCAAACCCTTTAGTTACATTTAGAAATGTAATATTCTATGACTTCATTAATACTTATTTCCCTCATTCAACTTGAACTGTATGTCTTCTTCCCTGTAACCTCTTAACGTTCTTCTGTAAAGAGGGTTGGTCCTCACAATGAAAAGGTACTCTTCAATTGAATGATCATAATAAGAAAGGTCAGCAGAACAATACAAACGCAATCAATTACCTTTTCTCTACAAATGGCACAATTCTTATATAATCAATCAATACATACATTATTACACAACTATTCCTCTCCCCCTTAGGACACACAACCAACAGCACATTCCACAGTCACACACACACACACACAGTAACCCCTAGAGCGGCCCTGCCCTCCACATTCCTCACAAGGAGCCCCATCCCCCCTACGACCTGCCCCAAATAGGAAACGTACCCAATGTTTCCCACCCACACCGTGACTTCTTCAAGCCTGCACACTCAAAGTATGCTCCAAAGCCGACTGGACGAGAGAAAAAAGAGCACTATAGGCGCACGCACACACACACACACACACACACACACACACCGTAGCGTTAACCTATGCTCAACGTCCCTTCACAGGGAAGATACAATTGCGACCTTTATCCCAAAAAAAAGCCACATGTTCAAATAAGAAAATTGTTTGCAATAAAACAGCTGCAACCAACATGAACTCAATCATATCGCATGTGTTGTTTTGTTTTTTTGGCTAATTTATATTTTAAAAGGCCTGAAATGTATGTCGTTATAAATAATTAGCAGTAAAACTATAGCGAAAAAATACATTTTTTTACCGTCTTAAATCAAAACACAACAAATATCATTATTTTTAGAACAGTTTTGTTTATTTTTAATCCCTTTCCAATTCTCAAAATGACAACTATTTAAATGCAACTTTAGTCTTATTTACATGTAACTTATATCAAACTTATGTCATCACAATGTATGTTAAATAAAGAAATAACTAAATGGTGTTCATGTGTAGCTCTTTGATCCCTGATTATAATGGATGTGGGATCATAATCAAATCAAAGAATGTAAAACGCCTCGTGTCCAGCCGGAGAATTGAAGGTAAACGTTATCCAGCATGGAGATGATGTTACAATGTGGGCCAGCGTGGAGCATGAAGACGTCCCAATGGTTGACCTGAAAGCCTGTTACTCCATCTGACACGTGGTCTGCGATGCAAACCAAGACAGCCTCTGAAGTTCTGTGAACAAAATGTTCTTTTTGTAGGAGGCGTGGTCCAGGAGGCCTGTATCTCCCAGGGTGAAATACAGCCTAATAATGCAGCTTGTTCGAAAAGCCACAGACTCTTCCTGTCATAGGGGCTTCTGGGATCCGGCAATGGTTCCCAAACTGCGGACTGGGGACCTCCAGCGGCCCTAAAGGGGGTTTCCCAGAATAAAGTATTTCTTTGATTTGACTCTTTGAAATCACTTCAATGCTTTGATTAAAGCTTTCACTGATACGATGTATGAGAAACTTCAACAACAATACAAACTGCTTTATCGATTTGTTGGGGATATTTAAAAATAAATAACTTTAAATAACAGCCTTTCAATAAAAGCACCATGGATGTCAAGGTCTACGTCCAATTTGACTACTCATTATATGATAGAAACAACTGATATAGAACCAATCAGAACGAGATGAAAGGAATTACATTTGCAAAACAGATTCACTGTAGCATGCCACATATTGATTAGAAAGACTTAATAAAATATATTGTGTCAACGGTTGTATGCTTTCCCTTAGTAATTCATTTCTAAAAAGGCATCATTTCATTTGAACTGACAATTGGAATTGGATCAAATCACTTTTTTCACAAGTATTACCATGAATTCAACCAGAAAAGAGCAGCTGTGGAGAACATGGCTCCACCGCATTCTAACATTGTGGCCTTCGTCTTAAGATTGGAGCTGGAAATATGTGTGAGGGTGAATCTGGATGAAGGTGTGGGGGTGGGGAGGGACCTACAGAGGAGCCCCCCCCCCCCCCCCCCCGCAGAGCAGGCAAAGGCCGGATGCTATGACAATACTATTGCACTGCTTTAGGATGGTACAGTAGTGCAACATCGTCAAAGCAGCTGACCTCTGCAAGCTGACACACACACACACACACACACTTAAAATGCACAGCGCTTATATGGCAGCCATGCCACGCTCAAGATACACCACGACACACTGTGTGGACATTAAACAATAAATACAGCCATCTCAGAGACTCGGTCTCCGCATTGTGAGAGTTGCTATACGGTCATTTTAGGGCTATCACAGCATCAATTCCATATTTCTGACAGATATGAACAAGATCTGTAAGTGTAAGAAAAGGAAGGCGGGGCGTGGTGTAAGGAAGAGGGGGTGTCAGACAATGCCCTTTTAATATTGCACTGCTCATCTGATTTCACAGTAGTACAACAGAAAAAAGGCTTTGGACAACACGGCTGCTCTTCAAATCCGATCATTTCCTATCCCCCCCCCCCCCCCCCCCAGCATGCAGGAGGCAGCGTTCCACCGCGCTGCAGACAGGGCCTGTGTGCGCCCCCACCAAACCACTATTAACATGTTATATGCAAACCAGCAGCCGTGAAACAACCCAATAGGCTTATTAGGTTTACAACACAATGTAGCCTTTATGGCGTAAATGCATACATAGAAAAGCATATAATAAATGCAAATTGGAAACGAACTGTGAAGAAACGCAACCCTTGGAGAAAATAAAACTATCATGTGTGTTGATTTTGTGGCGTTAAAGTCACTCCCTTCTGTAGGTCTGTCGCCTTTCCTGCACTTTGTTCCGGTCAGCACGAGGCTGTAAAACCGGGAGGAGACATTTACTGAAATCAACCCGAAGCTGTGTGTGCGCGCGGCCTGCAGAGAGGCAGGGAACACACGCCTCTGGAGGAAGCGAGGGTGGAGGAAACATATATAGGGCAAAGAGCACATTCCACGATACAATACCAGAAACCCTCATTTAATACCTACTATTCCTGTCCCTTAGCCAAAGGGGCAATTTGAAACCCTCCTCGTTTAGAAACCCAAGAGTGGGGGCTTATGAGGGTCTTTGTTGTTCCAGTGTTCAGATCATTTTGCACATTATTTCTGCCAAAACCGATACAACACATGCACGCGGATCAAAATGCTAAAAACAAGGACGTTTAAACTCCATCACATTTAACCGAACAAAAGCCACAAGACCACCAGCTCACTGAGACCATATCCAGCTTAGCCTATACTTATTTTAAACACACGTGTTTAGCCTTCAATAAATAGATACATTTGTGAGAAGTAAGCAGTCTTCTTTCCACTCATCAGGCTACACATTTGTTAAACAAAGAAAGTTATGTTCCGTATTTTCAAGCACAAGACTTTTTGAACAGGCTGCAGCTCCAGCACACATTCCTCCAGTCACCACAGACAGGCCCGACTCCAGTGAGCCGTTTCATATGGAAGGCTTACTTCACATAGGCTACAATCACATATTTTACTCACTAAATATAACACGGTTTCACCGAAGTTTGAAGTGATTTAACTCTGGCTATGTCTTTTTAATAGGCTACGCAAAAATACAAATAAAAACACGGCCCGAAAATCCACAACTCCGTTTGGCAAGATAGATTACAAAGTGCTCTTGGGAGTTTTCCTGAGGTAAACCTGTGATTGTAACCATGAACTAATAAGCTCATTAGCTACGTTATTATAATACAGTGTAACTAATGACCAATTTGTCGTTTGGCCGGGACCAACTGGAAGCCTGACAGACCCGTCATGGGTTCCCCGGACCCCCCTCTGAACATTAGTTTAGGTGTAGTAGCCTGTTTACTTTTGATATCTCTTTTTGCAGCCAGGAAGAATCACTCACCTGTCAATCACTCCCTGTATCACACACACACACACACACACACACACACACACACACACACACACACACACACACACACACACACACACACACACACACACACACACACACACACACACACACACACACACACACACACACACACACACACACACACACACACACACACACACACACACACCACACACACACACACACACACACACACACACACACACACACACACACACACACACTCTAGCTGCAGTAGGCTACCGTTTTAAGCTACGAGGGCTCCTGGACCCTCTTCGCGGGCAGTCAGACCCTTCGATACCCATGTATGCCCACGAGCGTCCCGACGCCTCAGCGCACAGCAGAGCGCGGTCCTCCCGCCGTCAGATGTTCTGCTGAGCGCTACCTGGCGGAGGCAGGGCCGGTCCGTGCGGCTCCACACACAGAACAAATACAACGGCCCAGTTGCCCACTTTAGCGAGGGAAAACACGTCCTGGCTTTTACCGTCTATCTCCCACACATGCGTCCGTTTCCACCGCTGTAACTATTCGCGAGGCGTAACGGCTTCTCGCTTAAAAAGCGGTATTTCGTCCATTGGCAACCTCACGGCCTCCCAGCTCCGGACTCCATCTTTGACTAGTTGACATTCAGCTCTTCCAGAGACAAATTCCTCATTTGCATGACAGCCTGCCATTGGTCAGTTTCTGCGCTTATCTCAGCCCTGGTTGGTGTAAAATGTATCTCATCACCTTCAGGATTGGTCACATACAAAGGGGACGTCATTGTATGGTTTAATTTTGACAATGAACGCATTTTTTCTTCCATTCACAAGTTTCTCATTATCCGCCCTCGGGTTGATATATGATGTTTTCTTTATTTACATGTTTTTAGGTGGAGGTTCTCAACAAGTTCATAGTCTTTGCAGTGAAAATGGCAACTGATGATTAACTGTTTTTTATCATGTCCGATCCGGCGACCACCCTGATAAAAATCAGCATACGTGCTTTTTTCCGTAGACTAAGTATATGTCTGTGTGTAGCATAGGCAGGCATGAGGATTATTTTGTATCAAAGTTAGCCTTCTTCATGGACGACATCAGGGAACAGAGTAACCAACAATAAGCCTGCATGCAGGAACCACAGTTCACATGTTTCTCAGAAACTATGCAGGTGCATCATAGGAAGGGGTGCACAGGTCACATAGTCAGGGTGTAGTGTGGGGGGAGCTTGAAGGCGACGGGCTCTCTGGAGGTGCTCCGGCCGACGCCTGGAGGAGGAGGAGGAGGAGGAGGAGGAGGAGGAGGAGGAGGAGGAGGAGGAGGAGGAGGAGGAGGAGGAGGAGGAGGAGGAGGAGGAGGAGGAGGAGGAGCTGAACTGAGTGCATTATCCGACGGAACACCGCCGTCAGCAGCCGGTCTGTCCTCCTCACCCCTCCTGTCCTCCTCACCCCTTGTGTCCTCCTCACCCCTTGTGTCCTCCTGTCCTCCTCACCCCTCCTGTCCTCCTGTCCTCCTCACCCCTTCTGTCCTCGTGTCCTCCTCACCCCTCGTGTCCTCCTGTCCTCCTCACCCCTCCTGTCCTCCTCACCCCTCCTGTCCTCCTGTCCTCCTCACCCCTCCTATCCTCCTCACCCCTTGTGTCCTCCTGTCCTCCTCACCCCTCCTGTCCTCCTCACCCCTCCTATCCTCCTCACCCCTTGTGTCCTCCTCACCCCTCCTGTCCTCCTCACCCCTTGTGTCCTCCTGTCCTCCTCACCCCTCCTGTCCTCCTCACCCCTTCTGTCCTTGTGTCCTCCTCACCCCTCCTATCCTCCTCACCCCTTGTGTCCTCCTGTCCTCCTCACCCCTCCTGTCCTCCTCACCCCTTGTGTCCTCCTGTCCTCCTCACCCCTCCTGTCCTCCTCACCCCTTGTGTCCTCCTGTCCTCCTCACCCCTCCGGAACGGGACCAAGGCTGTGAAGCTGCTTGTTGTCTGTCAGTTAGACACAATATGTCCAAATATAGTTTCTCAAAGAATATATATAAATCTGTGTTAACTAGTTGCAGGGATTTATATCTTCCAGTTTTAGCAAGCCCATACTATCTTATTTTGACACTCATGTCCAATGGAGCCAACTAGAACACAGCCTTTTCCTCTTTCGTATAACAAAGCTGCTGGGTTTGTGTGGGGGAGAAGGACCCCACTTCCTGCCCCCTCTTCCTCTTTCTCTTCATAGTGCGGTAGACCTACATGGTGTTGTCATGAAGCCAAACCCAACTGCACAATTTGTAAAAAGGTTTACATTTTTTAAGAATATTACCTCTCACTGACTATTTATTATTTATAATACTACTGAAGCTACGCACCCCCCACTTGTTTTACTTTGCCCCCGAGTTTTGAGAAGAAAGCTGTCTGACATGACGTAGGTTAGATGCTATGTAAGGAATGCGTGTTCACAGTTGCCTCTGCATATGTGTGTAGTGCTGCGCGCACACGTAGAGTAGCGGTGCCGCGCAGTGTGCGGGGCGCAGGAAGCTCTGCCCATATTTAGCTGTGCCGGCTGGCTGATCAGGGTGACATTCTGTCCATCTGAGCTCTGCACTCCAGGGATGTTGGTCAAAGCAAACTGTTAGTAAAATATGAAATTATCTCTGAAGAATATACAGAAACTAACCTGAGAACATTTTTTGACACACTAAAAAACAAGTTTCCACAACTCTTGGGTGGTATGTGCTGGTGTTTTAAATACACCGTACATGTGTGCCCAATGTCATACTACTGACTGTCACTTTGATGTGTGTTCATAGCAGGACAATTACAACATGAATTATATGATATTGGCAGCCAACAGGATAATTACTTAAAATGTAAAGTGTGTTCAATGTAAGGTATTCATCCATTAAATGAGTGAAAAACTTGGATGGCGATCAGAATCAAAATACCTTTATTCGTCCCACAGAGGGAAATGTACATGTATGATGTAATTACTTTAATGACAGCTCATAAAACAAACAAAATGAACAATGCATCTTTTCTTGAGAAGTAGTGACAGCTTTTAGGGGAGTTCACTTGCTTTTTGGGTTTCAACGAATCAACTGCTCGGTTGGATTTGTTTTCTTCTTCTTAAACTTATCCTTTAATAGTTCATTCTTAGACACTTGTTCTGCCTTTCATTAAATGAAGTTAATTAGCTCTGCACAAAGCTAATACTGAATAGTGTTTTTACTATACAGACGCACAGAAAGACACACTGGCTTATGAATGGCCAGGGTCCAAACCTGTTTGTCAGTGCAGGCTGCACTGGCTTAATCTTTACTAAACATTGTGCAACAGATTGGAAAAACACAAGTCAACATGGGTAAAAGCATTATAACTGCTCCCTGTGTACACACTGCACAACATAGGCTCTGTGTTCACCAGCCACAATTTATTACATTTTTGTCAAAACATTTATAAAGGACTTATTATGCAGAATATGATCAATACTCAACTATGGGTTAGGGCAGGGCTTCTCAAACTCCGGACCAAGGTCCGGATCCGGACCGAACTACAAATCAATCCGGACCGAACCCTGTGTCCCATTATAAAAATAAAATAATAATAATAATTAAAAAATATTAATTCTGATTCTGATGTAAATTAAAGTGGACCTATTATGCTATATTGGAAACTATATATATATTGTAGGGCTATACCTATACAAAACATGTCGGTGAAATTTTTTGCTTAAAATACCAAACACATCCCCCATTTTAGCCATGCCTCATACTGCTCATACCCCTCTTTTGCAGCCCTGTTAGAGAAACGCGGATCTTGGGTCCTTAGCTTGAAAAAAAAAAGAGGAGGCGGAGCTAATGCCTGATCAGAATTCTACCGGAGATAGTTAAAGTTAAATTCTGTCGTGATAAAACGCCATCCTGTTCTAAACCACATCAAAGATTATTTCTGAAACAGTATGGAGCTCAAATGGTTTTTCTCTTGCAGGTTTATCACATTATTTCCTGCTTTTTAAACTTGTGCTTTTAAAATGTGCTCTTCAGTACAGGTTAGCTCTGAGTGTTAGCGAGGCTTGCTAATGTAAACAAAGACGAGATTACGTCCAAAACACGTCAGGCATTGTTTCTGATAGCAACTTTCTGTGGGTCCGCTGCCGATTTGATGTCAGATCGGCAGCAAATCTGTATCCGCTCGTTGTACCCCTGTTTTTAAAAGATTTGGGTACGGAGGAAAAGAGAGTTTTTTTACTTTACTGGCATTGATCCGGACCATTGACCTTGTATACAATTCACAAGTGGACCTTTAACAAAAAAGTTTGAGTACCCCTGGGTTAGGGGATCAGATTGTTCAGGAATAGTTTAAATAAGTTTGCTTAACTCCAGGAGTCTGGCCCTGCATATGACCCCACAGAAATAAGTTCTGTAAAAATCATTATGATGTTCAGTGAGTCTTGTGTGTCCAAAAAATCATAACAACAAGTATTTAACTAACAGACAGACACAGACACAGACACAGACACACACACACACACACACACACACACACACACACACACACACACACACACACACACACACACACACACACACACACACACACACACACACACACACACACACACACACACACACACACACACACACACACACACACACACACACACACACACACACACACAGGTATTGGTAGATAGATAGGTAGGTGGATAGATAGATGGATAGATGGATGGATAGATGGATGGATAGATGGATAGATAGATGGATAGATGGATGGATAGATAGATGGATAGATAGATGGATAGATAGACAGAACATGTGCAGAGTAGCTTCTATCATGAAACATAATTGGAATTAGCATATATTCTTACACCTTTGTTGGAGAAATGTAAACAAATAATACATAAATAAATTATCTGAATAATGTATTTCGTAAATGTTTGTATGCGTTTAAATTGTTACCTCAAATGTCACTTATCAATTGTTACTTAGGCCTATGTACAAAGCATAGCTAAATCAATCATTTCAATCAAAATTAAAGTATTGTTGTTTATTAACATGTCAGCAAAATTCAGTTAGTTTACTTAGAAAAGTATTTGTCATTTAAATAATGACCCTTAATGTGGACGAAAACAACACCCCATGTCTCATTGACTCGCTGTCTTGGAGGAGATATACAGTAAGTAAAGCAAAGAGGATTCTAGTTCCACTATTAGTTATTCATAGTCATTGTAACATTATACATAACTGATGTATATATGTTTTACATTGGTTCATGTATATCCTTGTTTTGCCAAATATGTTAGAAGGAAACCCAATGCTGCATGGACTACAGGCAGTGGAGTGTCTGTGGGGGGGTCCAGCTCAGACACAAACACACTTGGCGTCTTTAAAGACCCAACAGAAATAAGAACCAGGCAAAGTTCTCAAAAGGTGTCTGAACGCCCACATTGTGCCGTGGTGAATAACAGATTCACACGGTGAAACGATACCAGCTTTGCTGTCGCAGCTGATGATTCCCAATACATTATCAACAGAAGGCTATTAGCAGTGGCTGTAACAGTAATAGGTGAAGTATAGAAGGAGTAGGCAGTTGGATTAGCAGTAGTGGTAACAGGAGTTAGCGGTTGCAGTAGTTTTAGCAGTTCCTGACGTATTGTTGCAGT